ATACACCAGCCATCAAATCATCTGTCATATTGATTTACCGCAAATTAATCCTCCTTAATGTAAGTCTTCTTCTGTTTCCCAGCAAATATTTAGAAACTGCGTCCAGTTTAGACGAAAGTGAATCAGCCTGAAACTATAAACACATTTTATCAAGAACAGAAAAGCAAACTGAACCCAGACCTGTGGCATGCAAAGCTCTGCATGTGAGTGTGAGTGTGAGTGTGAGTGTGCGACCATATGAGTGTTTTGAATATATCTGATTACTCTCTGCAGTGTTGAAGCAACTTTCCACTCTCATGTGAAAGATCCTGCAGTACAGGACTTCCTCCAAATGTAATACCTCTCCTTATTTTTCTATGTGTGAGAAAATATTCAAATTAGAGCCACACGGAAATAAAAGGGGTATGCATATAAATCTTTACAGCGTGAAAGCGTTATATTTTGGCCAGCTTTGTTCATGCTATCAAGTCATTTCTGCAGCTCTGCATGATCGTTACAATTCTGTATTGTTTTTTTAAAGAGGCGCATTATCTTTTACAGTGCTGCATTATCTTTTACAGAAATACATTATCTTTTACAGTGCTGCATTATCTTTTACAGTGCTGCATTATTTTTTACAGAGGTGCATTATTTTTTACAGAGGTACATTATTTTTTATAGTGCTGCATTATCTTTAACAGCTCTGCACTGAACGGCATTATTTTTAGAGCCTTGCATTATATTCCACTACTATGCTTTAACACAGCACTGCAATATCTTTCACAGCTATGCATTATTTTTTAGTGACCTGCATTATATATTTCACTCTGCATTAACTGCTACAGCTATGCATTATTTTTTAGTGACCTGCATTATATATTTCACTCTGCATTAACTGCTACAGCTACGCATTAGCTTTTACAGGGCTGCATTAGCTTTTAAACCAATGCTTTATCTTTTACATTATATTTAACAGCTTTGCATAATCTTTTACAGTGCTACATTATCTTTTATAGCTTTGCATGATTTTCTACAGCTCTGCCTTATCTTTTACAGTTCTACATTATTTTTACAGTGCTGTATCACCCTTTAAAGCGCTGCATTTTTACAGCACTACATTATCTTTTACGGTGCTGTATTAAACTTTACAGCACTGCATTACCTTTTACAGTGTTGTGTCAGCCTTTACAGCACTGCATTTCCATTTACAGTGCTGTATCAGCCTTTACGGCACTAATGTATCTTTTAAAGTGCTGTATCAGCCTTTATGGCACTCGTTTATCTTTCACAGCGCTGTATCAGCCTTTACAGCACTGCAATATCTGTTACAGGGCAGTAACACCAGTCTTGACAGCACATCATTATCTTTTACGGTGCTGTATCAGCCTTTACAGCAGTGCATTGCCTTTTACAGTGCTGCATCAGCCTTTATAGCACTGCAATATCTGTTACAGGGCGGTATCAGCCTTTACAGCACTACATTACCTTTTACAGTGCTTTATCAGCCTTTACGGCACTGATTTATCTTTTACAGTGATGTATCAGCCTTTACAGCACTGCATTACCTTTTAAAGTGCTATTTCAGCCTTTATAGCACTGCATTACCGTTTACTGGTGTTGACATAATTTTCAGCCTGCTTATTCAGTGCCAGCTTTGCTGTTCGTTTTTCCCAATAAGTGGGAAAATATTTGTAAGAAAAATCTAGAGACAGAAATCAGGACTGGAGATCAGCTTCCTGAATGAGTTCCACCTACACGGCAGGACAGCTGGAAATGACTCCATCAGACCTTGACACTAATACTTGGCGGATCATCATATCACGCCTAAAATCATAGAAATATCATGGATGAATGTTTCAGCAGAGTGAGTGAGAACAGCTGACACGCCTCTCTCTTTCTTACTCTATTTGTCTAAACAGATGCATTTTCATTCCCAAGCAGTAAATAATGAGTTCTGCTTCCACTGCCAGAGGAGAGAAAGAGAGAGAGAAAGCTAGATATGTTTATGTAGTGAGAGAGAGCGAGAGAGCGAGAGAGGGAGAGAGAGAGAGAGAGAGAGAGAGAACCTTCTATTTCCAGACCACTTAACCTCTCTGCTCTCCTCTCAGTTTCTGTGGAGCAACAACACAAACATCTGATCTTTCTCTTCTTCTGGCGCAGATTTAGGACAGAAAATAGACGACGAGAAATGAAGCTGCAGCGTCCAAAAACCCCTGCTCAACAGAGAGAGAGAGACAGAGAGAGAGAGACAGAGAGAGAGAGAGAGAGACAGAGAGAGAGAGAGAGAGACAGAATGTTTTAATCACTTAAACTCTACAGATCGGTGCCTCCTCCAGAATTCAGTTCCTCCCTCTCATAACTGCAGAACTTACACACGTGTCACAGTACTTACCGAATAATTCATAATAGATACTGAATAATTGATAGTACATACTGAATGTCATAGTAGTTACTGAATAATTCATTGTAATTACTTAATATTCCATAGTATATACTGAATAATTCACAGTAGACACTGAATAATTCATAGTAGATACTGAATAATGTATAATAGGTTCTGAATACTGTGTAGTCTTAGGCTCAGAAGCTCCACCCACAGGGGTAGTTGGACTGTCTGATGTCTATTGTTTGCTGAGATGGAGGCAACTATTAGAAATTTGTGTGAATAAGTGAACATATCCTCTGCAGTGACACACTGGGAACAATAAAACATAAAATGTGTCCAGTGAAAGAGATTACTTACACTTATTTACACTCAGTCAAATCAATTGCCTACAACTCTATGTGTGTGTGTGTGCGTGTGTGTGTGTGTGCGTGTGTGTGTGTGTGTGTGCGTGTGTGCTGTGCGTGTGCGTGTGCGTGTGTGTGTGTGTGTGCGCGTGTGCAGTGTGCGTGTGTGTGCGTGTGTGGCGTGTGCGTGTGTGTGTGTGTGTGTGTGCGTGTGTTCTCTCAGCCCGGGCCTCTTTACACTCAGAGGAAATGAAGGTGAGCTGAGAGAAGAAGAACGAGAAGAGGAATGTGTGCGTGTGTACGTGACTCATGGGTTTCGGATATATTTATCTTGATTTGCGTTAGTGTGCTCAGCGCGTGAGGTGTGTGTGTGTGTGTGTGTGTGTGTGTGTGAGAGAGAGAGAGAGAGAGAGAGAGAGAGAGAGAGAGTGGTTTGTATGTGTGGTTTGGTGAGCAAAAACTGTCACAACAGCTCCAGCTGAAGATTTTTCAGAATGAATCTCTCTCTGCCAGAAACCTCCTTCAGTTAAGATACATCACAGCATCATCACTGACCTCACTGCAGCACTGTTCAGTGTCCCTCTCATTCATCTGTTCATCACCAGCTTCATCACTGACCTCACTGAAGCACTGTTCAGTGTCCCTCTCATTCATCTGTTCATCACCGCTTCATCACTGACCACACTGCAGCACTGTTCACAGTGTCCCTCTCATTCATCTGTCATCACAGCTTCATCACTGACCTCACTGCAGCACTGTTCACAGTGTCCCTCTCATTCATCTGTTCATCACAGCTTCATCACTGACCTCACTGCAGCACTGTTCACAGTGTCCCTCTCATTCATCTGTTCATCACCAGCTTCATCACTGACCTCACTGCAGCACTGTTCACAGTGTCCCTCTCATTCATCTGTTCATCACCGGCTTCATCACTGACCTCACTGCAGCACTGTTCACTGTGTCCCTCTCATTCATCTGTTCATCACCGGCTTCATCACTGACCTCACTGCAGCACTGTTCACTGTGTCCCTCTCATTCATCTGTTCATCACCGGCTTCATCACTGACCTCACTGCAGCACTGTTCACAGTGTCCCTCTCATTCATCTGTTCATCACCAGCTTCATCACTGACCACACTGCAGCACTGTTCAGTGTCCCTCTCATTCATCTGTTCATCACCAGCTTCATCACTGACCTCACTGCAGCACTGTTCACTGTGTCCCTCTCATTCATCTGTTCATCACCAGCTTCATCACTGACCTCACTGCAGCACTGTTCACTGTGTCCCTCTCATTCATCTGTTCATCACCGGCTTCATCACTGACCACACTGCAGCACTGTTCACTGTGTCCCTCTCATTCATCTGTTCATCACAGGCTTCATCGCTGACCTCACTGCAGCACTGTTCAGTGTCCCTCTCATTCATCTGTCCATCACAGGCTTCATCGCTGACCTCACTGCAGCACTGTTCAGTGTCCCTCTCATTCATCTGTTCATCACCGGCTTCATCACTGACCTCACTGCAGCACTGTTCACTGTGTCCCTCTCATTCATCTGTTCATCACCGGCTTCATCGCTGACCACACTGCAGCACTGTTCAGTGTCCCTCTCATTCATCTGTTCATCACCAGCTTCATCACTGACCTCACTGCAGCACTGTTCACTGTGTCCCTCTCATTCATCTGTTCATCACCGGCTTCATCGCTGACCACACTGCAGCACTGTTCAGTGTCCCTCTCATTCATCTGTTCATCACCAGCTTCATCACTGACCTCACTGCAGCACTGTTCACTGTGTCCCTCTCATTCATCTGTTCATCACCGGCTTCATCACTGACCTCACTGCAGCACTGTTCACAGTGTCCCTCTCATTCATCTGTTCATCACCAGCTTCATCTATCTATCTATCTATCTATCTGTTAATCTATCTATCTATCTATCTATCTATCTATCTGTCTGTCTGTCAGTGGAGAGGCGTGTGTGCAGTCACACTCAGACTCTTGTGCTCTTGGTGTTTGGGTGCTGATCTGCTCTCTCTGTCTGCTTTGTCACTTTGTTCCTCTCTCGTTTTGCACACACACACATACACACACACACACACACACACACACACACACACACACACACATACACACACACACATACATACATACACACAGACACACACACACACACACAAATACACACACAGACACTTATACCCACACACACTATCTCTCTCTCTCTCTCTCTGTCTCTGTCTCTCTGTATCTCCCTCTCTCTCCCACTCCCTCTCTCTCTCTCCCACTCTCTCTCTCTCTCTCTCTCTCTCTCTCAGTGCTGGTTTGTGCTCGCTCTGTTCTGCAGACTCTCCGTGCTGCTGCAGGTACGTTCACTGTTTACTCTCTAATAAATCTCTTTATTACTGACAATGTGAGGATCGTTTATCAGTACGTTTAACTGTATGTTTAACTGTATGTTTAAGCTGTAAGTTAGATTAAGCATCTTTCAGAACAGGATGAAGATGTTTCCCTTTTTTCTTATAAACTCTGTAAAACATTTATGCACATTTATCTGTTTTTGGCTTCTACAAATGATTATTGTTATTATTATTGTTTTTTGTTGTGTTTGTTGTTATAATACTGATTTACATTCGTATTTCGGCTGTAATATGAATATTTTGGTTGTCTCTCTGTGTGTTATTACTGTCTGTAATCTAAATGTGTAAACTGAGTGAACAGCTGTTCAGAAAGGAGGGCATGTTGATAGTGAATGTGAATCAGCAGCGCCCCCTGCTGGCGCTCAGGGCTGCCTGCACTCTCTCTCTCTCTCTCTCTCTCTCTCTCTAACAGCCTTAGCACACATCATATAATCAGACCAGCGTCTTTACTCAGTCAGGACGTTCAGTGTGAGTTTATGAGGATCACAGACACACAATAATAGTTACAGTGGAAATAAAAGACAAACTCAAACTCATCAGTGGAGAGTTATTTTAACAGGATACTTACCCTGAAAAAAGTACTATTAAAATCAATTAGGATCCTTTACATTGTGATACCATCACATTAAAAAAGCCAAAACACATTACAAAACCACCAGGAACCAACAGAAACATTTATGGGCTTCTACGGGTTTTATCAGCAGGGATAATTCGCCAACTTTGTTTTTTTTTTTTGATTTTCTAACTTTTTCATCTGTTTTGAATTGATTTTCAAACTTCAGACTCTGATATGAGCTGATTTGCCAGGTTTCAGACTCTGATGAGTTGAGTTGTTGATTTAGCCGGCTTTAGGTTAATTTGCTAACTTTCAATCTCTGTTATGACAACTTTGTTGATTTGCTAACGTTTTCATATATTTCAAATTGATTTCAGACTCTGACATGAGTTAATTTGCCAGGTTTTAGACTATTATGAGGTGTTGTGTTTTAGTGAATTTAGCTGACTTTAGCCTGATTTGCTAACTTTCAAACTTTGTTATGAGTTGATTTGCCTATTTTTAGTCTATTAATGATTTATTGATTTAGCTGACTTTGGGTTGGCTTGCTAACTTTCAAACTCTGTTATGAATTGATTTGCTGACGACTGATACGAGTTAATTCATGACTGTTGATTTGCTAACTTTATTGACTCACTTGATTTGCTAATTTCATCTAATCTGTGTCGATTTGGTACCTTCAACTCTAATTTGAACTGATTTGCAAACTTTGTCAACCTTGTTAAGAGCTGATTTGCTGACATTGAATCTGATGTGACTTTTTTAACAGTGTTCTCTGTTCTTCTCTCAGACCGAGGTGAAGTAATGGATCGTCTTCTTCTATCTCTTTTGCACCGGATGGCAGTCCTGACTCTGGTGGCCTCAGCAGCTGTGGAAAGCATAGCTGATGAGGGAGACTACAGTTGGGCCAGGATGAAGGTGCCATTGGTTGTGGACAGACAGACGGTTCGGCTGCAAAACCCCAAGTTTAGCAGTCCCAGAGATCCAGGCACAGTGTGTGGGATCGAGTGCCAGAGGAACCTTCCAGAACCAGGACCTGCTGAGCTGGAGCAGCTCCTGTCCTATGAGACGTTCTTTGAGAACGGGACACGTACACTGACCAAAGTGGTGCTAGAGGGTCTTCATAATGTGAGGAACATTTCATTCCATCCTTCTGCCTCTCCGGTAGGCCTCAAACGAGAAAGACGTCATGTTTACGGCTTGGATGGCCGCTTCGTGATCACGGACAAGCGCTACATCACTAGCTACCCATTTTCTGCTTCAGTGAAGCTTTCCATGGGATGCTCAGGGATTCTAGTGTCTCCCAGACATGTGCTGACAGCCGCCCACTGTGTCCATGACGGGAAAGACTACTTGAAAGGAAGCAGGAGGCTGCGAGTGGGCATAATGAAGTTACGATCCAAACGAGGCAGAGGGAGAGGTGGCAAGAAGAGCAGACAGCAGGAAATGAGACCTGACGCAGAAGATGTTGCTGAATCAACTGGAGAGAAAAGAGAGCGGAAGAAGGGGAGGAAAAGGAAGAACCGTATAAGGCGAAGCACTGTGGTTGGCAAGTCCATGTTTGGCGGGGAACGGCAGGAGTCCAAGCAGCCAAGGCTCCGTTGGACGCGGGTCAAGCAGACGTACGTTCCCAAAGGCTGGATGGGTGAAGTGGGCAATAAATTGGCTCTGGACTACGACTATGCCTTGCTCGAGCTGAAGCGATCTGCCCGAACGAAGCACATGGACTTGGGTGTGGTTCCCCTGATCAAGCGAATTCCAGCTGCGAGGATACACTTTTCCGGCTTTGACAACGACCACCCGGGGAAAGTAGTGTACCGTTTCTGCTCCGTTTCTGACGAGTCCAAAGATCTGATGTACCAGTACTGTGATGCCCAGCAAGGATCAAGTGGAGCAGGAGTCTACGTGAGGCTCGGTGAGCCATCCAAGAGTACGAAGGGTAGAAGGAAATGGAGGCGGAAGGTTATTGGTGTGTTCTCAGGGCACAGGTGGGTGGACGTGAATGGAACGCAAAAGGACTACAATGTGGCGGTCAGAATCACGCCAGCAAAGTTTGCACAGATATGCCACTGGATTCACGGAGACTCCAGCCAGTGCAAACTAGCCTGACCTGGTCTTGAGTGGACGTCCTCTGTAGCTGATATTTAATGGATGCTTGCTATCCAGTCCCCTAAATATTTCCCAGGGATCGGTTTAAGAAGCGGGTTGACACTTTGAGACATTAATTAGCTAATTATCACTGAATTTAGCCGACCTGCTTTCTGTCCAGAAAACCAGGATGTCAAGATGTTTCCAGACTCCTGAATGGTTGTTTATTTATCATTTTTTTCCCAAAAAATTGTGCTGGTATTTGATTTGTGGATCACCAGGCCTTTCAGAAGTTATGCCACCTAAGTGAACCCTAAATGTCAGACTCCTGGACTCCTAAACCTTCAAACCAGTGGTCACCAACTCTCTTACCTAAAACTAATGCAGGGGTGCCCAATCCTGGACCTGGAGATCTACCACCCTGCAGAGTTCAGCTAACACACCTGATCTGGGTAATGCAGGCCTTCAGAGGCATCTGCACATTCGAGCCAGGTGTGTTGGATCTGAACTCTCCAGTGGGGTGGATCTCCAGGGCCAAGATTGAGCAACCCAGCATTAATGGCTCTGATCCAGCCAATCAGGCACTTCTGAAGATGTTAATTAGCTGCAGCAGGTGTGGCAGACAGAAGTTGGAACTTTGCAGGAAAGTAGACCTTCAGGACCAGACCTGGTCACCACCTCTTTAAACAATCATTACCACTTCCTGTCCTGTTCAGGACTTTCAGCTGACCTTGTCAGAGCTGGAGTCAAATATGGTGGCATAGTTCACATTTAACTACAGGATAATCACAACTGAATTACTTCATCATAGTCCATGGCAACAATAAAGGTATAGGGTAAATATATGGCAATACAGATACTGAAGGGCAGGGTTACATACTGGAGTGAGTTATGAATAGGGCTCAATCTCAAATAGCTCCATACTCCCTATATAGTGCACTATATAGGTAAAGGGCCAGCAACCCAAATGTTAAGAGCAGCCATTTTGCTCTTTCAACAAAAATCAAACCACCTTGGGAGCCACAACATTTTATCTCCATTTGACCAACTTGACTGTAAATATGTCTCAGTATGTGCTAGTTTAGGCTAAAAATATAAACGAAAACAGACTTACTTTCCTCTGCTTTTCTCACATCTCCAGCAGGAAACTTTTACGCAAAAGTAGAATATTTTCTTGTAAAATGTCTCTCAACATTAAATTTTTTACGAGGCTGAAGTCGCTTCTCATTCACCAGTTTCTCGTCTGAATTTCCCTGTTCCACCTTAAGTGGTGCCTGAGGTGCCAGAATGTAACTGCGGCACCATTTAAGGTGGAACAGGGAAATTCAGACGAGAAGTTGGCAAATGAGAAGCGACTTCAGCTTTGTGACTTTATAGTGTTTGTCAGCTTCTCGTTGCAGATTAAATGTATCAGGAAACCAGCTGGAGTGATTATAAATGCAAATTAGTTAATTTGTCTCCAAATTATTGAGGTTCATCTAAAATCTTTCTCTTTACTAGCTTGGCAAGATTGTCATATGTGCTGCTATGGTGACCAGCAGTCTGCGCTGATCTTCAGGGTTAAAGGGTGAATTAGCAGTTCTACATTAACTCCAGAGTTTAAGATCATTTACTGTTAAACTGTGTTGAACGACCAGCAGAGCTTTATTTTACTGTAAAGGAGGATTATTTTATTTTTACCTACAAATCTAATTCAGCTGTGGAGCCACAACAGGGCAGTGAAAGAGCTGCACGTGACCCCTGCTATACATAATTAAACTACGGCTTCTACACTAAAATGCGCTAAACAATTTTAGTCAGGGAGTCGTGCAGCTTTGGACAAATTTAAAATGGAAAAATAACACTATTTGGGTGTGGAAGCTTTTTTTTTTCTACATAGTGCACTATGTAGGGTGCAGGGAGCAATTTGAGAGTCAGCCTAGATTTTGGGAGCTTTTTCTATGTTCTTTTTTTGATGAAATGGTGCTCAAGAGTTTTTCACTGCTTGGAAATGTGATCTGCTCTTAAAAAAGGTGCTGTTGTGTATATTTATTGCATTATGATGAATGTTAACTTTGACTCCACTCCTAATAAAAGTATTCTACTGTTCTTTTCTTTCACTTTTGACCACAGCTGGATCCTTTTTCCCAACAAATCTGTACATTCTGTGTCTGTGGAGAACAAGAGAGTGACAAATTGACAAAAATTCAAACACAACTTTTCCTGTTTATTTCCTTCCAATAAACCAATAACAAATTATCATTAGTTACAGTTCACTTAGCAACACTGACTCTTGTTGCTGTGGTAGCAAAAACAGAAGTAACACGAGCAAAGTGCATGGTCTACACTACAACTGCTATTGTTTTGGGTTGTTCATAAATACAGACAGCGGAGCAGAGTGACAACACAACCAGCCAATAGCTACTCAGTGGAGGTGGGGTTTACTGCTCCAGAGAGCCTGACTGGACAGCATCCTGGTAAGAGGGGCCGCCTTCTTTCTGCTCAGGGAAGAGTTTGATGAGGTCGTCGATGCGCAGGATGGTGATGGCGGCTTCAGTGGCGAACTTCAGACTTTTGGTTTTGACCATGGTGGGCTCGTAGACCCCCGCCTGCTTGTTGTCTCTGGGCTTTCCGTTCACCAGGTCCAAACCGATCCTACAACACAGACATGAAGGCATTATTTCTGTTTAACCTTCATAATGTCAGTGTTGTTTAAGTCTAAAAAGTCCAAGTCTCTCAATCCTAAACATCAACCTGGAAAAATACTGAACTGCCTGACAGATTATATAATCATACAGTACAGTGAGGCCCATATCCTACATTTTTCTAACATTTTATGTTTTTCCCCCTGAGGACAGTCGTAACTCCCCCAAAACAGTCATGATTCATTTTAACTTGACCGATTTCCATTCACTCTTTATCCTTTAGCATTAAGTAGTCCGCTTTTGTGACAGTGAGATATATTTAAGTGAGCTCTGTTCTGACTGGCTGCCCTGTATTGCCACTCAAAATGCAGTCCAGGCTAAAATACTCCAACTAGATAGCCAGTGTGACTGGGTGGAGCTAAACTACTACAGGCTGAATAGGTGAATGTGTAATTGTATTGGTTTTCATGACATCACAAAAAATTATTTATTTAAAAATGTTTCCATATAGGGATCGTATGGACTTGAGAGTGAATAATATATGTTTTGAAACTTGATCAACAATAACTACAGCATACTAATTTATATAACAGAAGAGAATTTAATTTGCCATGATATGGGCCCCTGAAGAAATGACAGCAATGCAGGGTCGGGTTACCATGTCACATTCAAAATGGGCAGATTTTGTTGTTCTAAAATTAAATGTTCAAACAGTAAACATTCCAACAAAGTAGCATGCTTTAACTTTCAGCACAGCAATGCTGTCCAAAACACTCATCCATACAGAACACGCCGAAGCAGAACTGTCTCACAGATTACAGTCATATACTGATATATGTGGTTTGATGAGTCTACATAGCGGCTCAGTTTACTACTTGAATATCTGTAAAATATGGAGGCTGAACTGAACAAATACATGTTAAGTTAGAGAGAGACACATAGAAATGTGTCCAAATGAACTGCTTTCTGTGCCATTTTAAAATAGCACATTCAGACATGCAGTCGTTCAGGTTCTGGTAAGACAGTAAAATACAATGCATCACTGACGAGAATCTTCAACTCACCACTTGAGGTTTTTGCGCTCAGGGTTGACCTGAGCCTCATTGTGGAAGGCCCTCAGTTTGGCCACCAGGTCAGTGGAGTCCTGAGCAGCGTTCACCGCCAGCGTCTTAGGGATGACCAACAGCGAGCGAGCAAACTCCGCAATAGCCAGCTGCTCCCGAGAACCCTGCACACAATATTCACATCATCTCATGAGAACAGATTGTACATTAATTTCAATCTTTGATTTTTCCCCATTTTTCTCTGCAGTTTAGTCCCAGACAACTTCACCCACTAGTTAGGGCTCCCCCAGTTACACGATACCACCAGCGCTAGGAGGGCGAAGGCAAACACAGGCTTCCTCAGAGACTTGTAAAGAGCCACCGCATCTTTTGAACTGCCGCTCACACAAGTTCTGTTACATAAGCAAAGAAACACCTGCGCTGACTTACACTGCACTAAGTGATGGGGGGTTGGGGGGGCATCCCACCCACCCAGAGAGAGCGAGGCCAACTGTGCTCTCTTGGACTCCCGGCCATGGATGGCTGTAGCATCACAAGGGATCGAACTCGCGATCTCCTAATAATGGGGTCAACACTTAGACCGTTGAGCCATTCGGGAGCCTTAATTTCAGTCTTTATACAAAATCATGCAGAACTTTAATATGCACTGATCTGCGTATTAATTAGTGGGGGGGTTTATTCCTGCAGTGGGAACCACATGCAGACTAGGGGTACAGCAATTCAGGCACCAATGTGTACATCAGAACAGATTACAGTAATATTTAATAAAGTAATAAAATATGAGCTTATATTAATGACAAAGCAAAACTGGGCTGTTAATACAATAAACCAAGCATTTTTTTTCTTCTATTGCTGTGCAAATTACTCCTGCAGTCATATTTGTGCATTAAGTATATTCACAAAAACGACTGAATTGTAGCAAAACAACTGAAAAGCGGTGAAATTTGGAGATGCTATGACTAAATGGGTCCCTTAAGATAAAAGTGCCCAGTCTTCTCCAAAAGGACTGGTGTGGCAGCAGCTTTGCACATCTGATCAACTGTTACAAGACCAACTACAGGCCAACTGAGTTAACAAGTGGAACCAGGTGTTCTCCAGCTTGTTTGGCATGAAAACCTGCAGCTCACCGGGGAAACAACTGGGCACACCTGCTGCCAACTCACAGCTTCTTGTTCCTAAATAACGCCACATAAGAAGGTGCTGACATGCTTTAGGGAGAGCAGGACAGGCGTATGTGTTTGTCATAAGCAGAGTGGGTTCAGCCCTCAGCGTAGCCGCCTCCTTTACTGCTCTAGACCAGTTTACTTTCTCCCACGCGTATAACTGCACACGCCACCTCACCGGCACTGCAGCAAATTAAATGGGAGTTCAAACACCACAAACAATGAAGAGTAAGAACTCTCACCATGCTGGTGGCGTAGTTCTCCAGGTAGATGGACAGAGCTGCCTCCACAGCGCCCCCTCCTGGAACTACTGACTTTGACTCCAGGACCCTCTTCACCACACAGAGGGCGTCATGCAGCGAGCGCTCCATCTCATCACACATGAAATCATTCGCTCCCCGCAGGATTATGGAGGCAGACGTACGTGCCTTCGTACTGAGATAGGGAAAAAGAGAAGGCAGAAAAGGAAGAGTTTGTGTTTGAGTACCCATACACTTAGAGACGAACATGATCTAGATATCTTCTTTGATAACCCTCCAAACTGTTTTACACTTTAGTTTACCTTAGATTTTAACATGCAAAAGTAGATGCAACACAATGTAGGTAATTCTTTGATCTGAGCTCAATCCTAATGTGCTTATTTCTAAATGTAACTACTCTGATGCTACTTTATGTATTTTATATCACTGTATAACTCAGCTTGGTCACAATATTACATAACTCAGAGTACAGATAATGTTTTGAGTTTAGCTGAAAGCCAACATGCACCGACAGTACATCGCAGGTAAAACAAACATGCGTAACTGTCTTGTTTTTAAACCGTTAGCCCACGTTTCTTTATCCTTTAAAACAAATTAGAACTTTTTTTTGGAAATACTGTGACTGACATGTAAATTAGCCCTGTTCTGATTGGCCGTCCAGTGCCTTATAACTTGAAATTTAGCTACATGTTAAAATTGTAAAGATAATATTTTGATTTCAGCTGAAGGCCAACAGGTGCCTACAGTACAGTGCAGGTAAACATACTGCATCTTTATTTCATTTTTAACCATTACACCACTTTTCATTATCCTTTACAATTGATTAAAACATAGTTTTTGTTACTGTGACTGACATGTAAATTAGCTCTGTTCTGATTGGCCGTCTAGTGCCTTATAACTTCAAATTCA